CTTCTTGCCATTCTTACTTAAAATGATTTTGCATTCAGAAATTCGGGACTTAAATACGGATTTGATGCATATTGGACATGAAGAAGGGAGCAAGTTGCACGTGGGGAAAAAAATGCGCCTGATTTAAATGTCACACCTGAACGCTCACATCCTTTTAATTATGTTTGAAATTATGAACATTGCTCAACATCATGAAAATTAAACCTTATTTTCAATAAGCAATCCTGAAAAATATTTGGGGGTGCTTAACTTTTTTCCAGGTGTATATATCCTGCTACATTATAAACATGTCTTTTCCCTTCTCAACTTACCTTTCGCCTAGCAACAGAAAAAGGTTTGCTGCATTGTCTACAGGTTGTTGCTTCCTTATCACTTGTCCAAACAGCTTCCTTTAATGTGTAATGGCTCTCCTTAAGATCTTCAAGTTGAAGCTTTGAGCTATAGAAAAAATTTGATTTTTGGTCTCTTGGCATAATATCAACTCAAATTATCCCTGTTCACTAAACCCAAAGTCTGTGGTATGAAGCTTGTGTATGAAAACTAAATACAAGATTATGTGTTTAGATTTGCTTCTGCAGTTAAAATGTAAACTGAACTAAATCATTTATGTTACAATTTTCTGTTACCAAAAATATACTTGGGTACTGAGGAAACAACTCAAATTTCATTCCAATGAGTTACAACACTGAGCAGAAAGGCCATGAATAATTATCATGAAATCATTCAAGCAAGGTCTGAGGGGTTAGTTATAAAAACAAAAGAAGAGGTTAATGCAAGAGTAACCTACCTTCCATACAGTGTTCTTTATAGATGTTTAATTAAAAAAACCATTTCATGAGTGAGGAATATTTATCTTGTGAAAGAACTTGGGTAGACAGATTTCTGGTGTATATACAGTTTTAAATGTACATTTTTCCAAGTATCATAGCTACGCATAAACATTTGTATCTGAATTTGTTCGAATGTTTGTTAGAGAAACCCTATAATTTTGTAAAATACAAAAAGGAAACTAAGCTTTGGAAATTTAAAAAGTATTACATAAATTACAAAATAAAAAAACTACAAAATGTATATAATGATGATACCATTCTGTACAGGTATTAGGTTCAAAACTTACAGCTTCTTTAAAATTCGTGAGAAAGTTAAAGCTTGACCCTTGAATAGTGCCAAATTGTGACTATGGCTTGTAATATTTATCATGTTATTAATTTGTTTGTTTCAAAGCTATACAATTGATATCTGGCATAGCTATCCCTGATTTGTAACTAATGGACTGAAGTAGTATTAATAGTAGAAAAAAATAACAGAAAATGGAAGTCTACTTTACTTTCCACCTCACCAAAAAAAAAGCTTGGCATTTTGTACCCATGTGTTGTGCCACTCCTCATGTAAATTAAACAAAATGTTTTTCTTCGAGATAAATTATCCTTTAAATCTGATTTTCAGACACTCTTTCAATCACACTAACTCATTCATCAAAATTAAAAAACAAAATAATTTGCACTATTTTTGTGGAAAGAAATGTCTCAATGCTGCAAAAGAAGGAAACTCAAAGTTTGGAAAATTTGCTCCTTGTTTCTATGTCACTAGAATTCTTGTTTTATGCTGCTTTCCTCAAACAGCCTTGCCTTCTTTTTCACCTTCTGACTTTTCCCTTTTATTTAGTTACCAAAACATGGACTTCACTGTTACCTCTCTTTTCTTATCTTCATATTTTGAGTTTGTTATTTTGAAACTTTTCTTAAAGTAACACTGATTGCTTCTCTAGGTCTCTCTCTATAAAGTTTTCAGTAAAGTTTCTCTTTTCCATAATCATATTTGCTGGTCGCTTCATTGCCAATCAAAACTAACCTACTGTTAGCTACTAATCATGGTAAACTTTATCAACAATTAGATTTAAAGGAATGTGAAATGTTAACAAACGGAAATTACAATGAGCTTGAAACATAACAAAAAGTACACTATGCTAATATGAAGAAAAACATGATATCAGTGTTTTCATACAACATAAATTTAGTATGTATATTTGTTTGTGTTAGAGCAAAGCCACACTGGGCTATCCGCTACATCCACTATGGGAATCAAACCTTGATAAGTCTGTAGTCTTACCGTATCAGAGACACTAATTTGAAAACTGCAATAACTATACAACTAAAAAGACTCCATGAACACATTTTAAAAATCATGTTTACATAAATAACTTGTCAGTATTAGTACACAAAACATGTTAGTGAGCCAAGGGCAAATCCAAAGAAAATACAATAGTTTTAACTGCATTTCTGACAGAGCATTATGCAAGGTTGATTTGAAATTGATTACCTATCTAATGCAAGTATTTAAGACTTTCTTCAAACTTATCTATTTGGGCTTAGTTAAATATTTCTAAGTGTATATTACAGGCCTACTACAGTAATCGTTTGTTAAATAGAAAGATATTTCAAGGTAGCCCAGTAACACAAATATTTCTTTATACTAAAGTAATTTTATATGAATAATTGTGAGATAGTGATGCAGACAAAAATTATTCTCATCCTGAATATTAATTTGAATAACCAGTAATAACCACAAGCAATGCTCATTCTGCTGCTACTAGCAGAAATCTACCATTTCTGGCACTACTATACAGACTTTTAACTACGTCTAATATTCTGGCTGTTGTGAAGAAGCATGGTGTATGAATCTAAAGAGGTTAAAACAAAAGGGCAGCTGAACCTTGATCATGCAAATGCCCCTCTCCCTCATTGTTTTCCACTGGGCTAATGGAAGACCTAGATAAAGATGGAATTTCCAGAAATATGTGGATTTTTCACATGCCTGATAATAATTTGAACATATTTTGTCATTATTGTTAGTATTTCTAACCAGAAAGGTTATTTAAGCTGTTTAAACAGTACTAACTTACTACAGCACTAGACTAACCAGGTTGCTAGAAAACAGCTAAGATCATTTAGATTCTTGACAAGTGATTAAACTAGTTAAATATGGTGTACAACTCTACACCTATTACAGTGGCTAAAAAATAGTTACAATCCCTGGACTATTGCCAAGTGAACAAAGTAATGTAAAGTTGTTGTGCACGACACCACATTCTATATGTTGCCTAGAAAACAGCTACATTAATGGCTTTCAAAAAAGTGGACATGACTGTGTAAAGTATAGTGTCACAATACATACACAATGCTGATCATAAAACAGTTACAATCACTGGACTAGTGGTGATTAACACAATAATACACAATGATAAAACTAAATACAAAAGTAATAACAGGAAGCATTTATTAAACATTTTGGAATCGGTATAATTCTATCATCAATAATATAGATGTACAAAACAAACAAACAGTATTTGTAATTACAACAGAAATATATATACATAAGAAATAAAGAATGCAAATATACAAATATAACACAAGAAAATGAAAACTGAGACACAAGTGAAATAGTTAAAATAGGTTTCAATTCAGTGAAGACTGTGTGTTATTCAGGGATGGAAGAAGAGTTTTTATGTACAATGTTTCTTTTATAAGATGTTCACTATCATGTTTGGCTGTTAAAAGAATTTTAAAGTTGGAGAGAGAAATCGGATGTCCCGCTTTTGCATTGTGTTGATAGATAACAGGGTTGGGAGTGTTTGTAACCTTTCTTCCAGTTTTTATATAGTACACATATATAGTTTTTACTATAGTACATAATGTAGAGTGGTTAGACAACAGTTATCACTATTGTGTGTTAGTAAAAAAAAAAGTGGACAAGGAAGTGTAGAGTCATGTGAAACAATACACCCACTATATTATTATGAAATGGGAAATAAACACAAGGCTGTTTCCACTGCTCCTGCAGCTGGAAAGATGCAGGAAGGCCTCAAGCTATTGGAAACTAATGGACATTTTGACCATGTCAGTTGTTTTGTGTTTCGTTCTAGTTAAAACATATTGTATCTGTATCATAAAATATTCATGTTATTATTATACTTAATTCATTGTATTAATTCAGTACAATAAAAAATAATCAATTCAATTTTACTGTGTTGCCAAAGAACATTTTAATAATGAATCACTAACTTTAAAACTTGTATGTTTCATGTATAAAATACATTAAAATTATCTTGAGTTAATGTGTTTTGCATAAACATGAGCCAATTAAGTCATACTTTAGGCAAATATACCACACTGAAGAGCTACCTAAAAAAATGCACAGCATTGAATGGTGGAGAATTGTTACAAATAAAGTGTGTGCAGGACAACTGACATTTTTGGTTTAGAGAAGACTTGTAATATTTACTAAAAGCTTGAAAATTTCATGAAATACACAAAACATGTTAAAAGTTACAGTATGAAAAGTGCAATGGTCACTTTGAGGCCACGTGGTTGGTGTATTTCATTAAGGCAGTAGCAAAAGGGTTAATAAATGTGTTGCATTGAAACAACTTCATAAAAAACGTATACATGTACTTCTACTTACTCACTAAGCTGAACACCCATTTCTTCTAGTGCTGTCTCATATTCCTGGCATGTATTCCTCAGACAATGAAAATCTTTTTCCAATTTCTCATACTCCTGAAAATGATAAAACAAAAGATTCAGAGATAATAACTGTGATATATTAACTGTATAAAATAACTATGCCCACACTAATGTTATACATTATTTTCAAGTCCTCCATATTGATTGACACCGACCACTGACCCATAAACTTCAAAAGTTAATCAGGTCTAGAACACTGTATGTTGCATAAGTTTGGTCAATATTCATTCATGCCGTATTGAAATATCATGTCCACAAGTTTGGGGAAGATTTAATATGTAAAAATAAATTCTTGACCTTTGACCCATGACCTTCAAAAGTTAATCTGATCTAGAACTTTGTGTACAGTACCTGTTGTATAACATCAGGACAGATGGATGAAGGGACAGAGGCAAATCAATATGCCCCACTCTGCTTCATGAAGCAGGGGGGGAAGCATGATTAGTAAACCATCTAATGCACAACATAATATGCTACCACATAAAACAGTCAATCAGCTAACATAATGAGAATCAGTGAATCATCCAGTATATAACAAGATATACTAAATTAATGAAAATTAGTTCACAATCTGGTATACAATTTAACACATAGGCACACAGAGTATCTCAGCTAACACAATTAAAATTAATATATAATCTGGTACATGATATAACATACTGTCACATAAAGAATTAATTAGCTAAAAGAATGCAAATAAACATATAATCTGTATATAACATTATACATTAGTACATAGAGAGTCAATCAGCCAACAAAATAAGATCTTCTCCATCAAGCATTTCCTAGAAGCAGGATCAAGTTAATCCTTTTTTAATCTTATATATATATATCTAAGAAAATATTTCATCATAGGATTGATTTAATTAATTTTTAAGCAAGTATATTTATTTTGATTAACACTAATCCTGATAATTCCATAAAAGAACAATGTCTCTACATTTTAAAAACCATTTCAAGAGCTTTTGTATAATGCTCCAGATTACCTTTGCGCCCACGTCATTCATGCACAATGTTTTGGAATGACATGTGACTTTCTAATGTTTTGAGATGCACGTTGGAGTGCAACAATATTTTTTGCTAAATTAAAGAAAATTTATTTTGTCAACATAAACATATTGTAATTTCTCTGAAAGTTAAGTTGTAAAAGTCAATGATTTCAAATTTGATATATATATATATATATTATTTTTTTTTTCTTCTGATGTCTATGGAGCATTGACTTCCATACATTGACATGTCTGGTACAGAAGGTCTCTTGCCCAATGTACTATCTCCTACAGATGGTGAAGAATTAGATACTCACTCAGGAGAATGGATGCTACGAAACATCTCAAGTAATGTCAAATTGGATGTTTTATGAGCCCAAGAAGCATAACTGTTGAAAGTGGTAAATACTTTTTTACATCAACTCTGAAACCATTTCACTTAAATTAACACAAAGTAACTATGAATAAAAAAAAGAAAGTAAAAAAAAAAGTAATATATTCTATTTCTTCAGAGTATTTGGTTACATTTCATTGCATTGTATTTAGTGCCTTTGTCGAACACAATTTTAAAAAAAAGGTTTTGGCACAGTAGCAGTTGATCTATAGGACCACTTATTTTAGATAATTCCAAATATTAAGATTTTATAATAGATTATTATCATCATCAATAAAATATATATATACACGTTTTAATAATAGTCCCCATCAAGCATGTTCCAACTTGGTTGGCAGCCTTTTAATAAAATGGAAATGTATAGAGTGCTACAATAATGGTTTTTGTTACTATAATTTTGGACAAGGAATAATGATTTCATATACTCTTTATGATTTTCTGAGCTTTATTGTACTCCTGCCAATAAGCTATCTTAGTATGGCTTATGTAGGACCAAGTTTCTGGTCATTAAGACTATTGCTATGTAAGTGATCATTATACTTCTGTACTTTATCAACTTAAGGATTAGAAGCATTACACAGATGCAGTTCTGACACTTTATTTTTACCTTCAAGTTTGTGCATTATCTTATCATCCATTATTATAATTAATTACTTAATGAAGATTTAAAAACAATTATGTGTTGCTCTGTAATTTGTGGTGCATGTCACAGATATTTAAGAAATCAGAATGCCAGAAGATGTATCTTAATAAATAAATAAATAATGGATTTTTTTTAGACTAACATAAGACAACAATAATTTCACAATCATCGTCCCTTTAAAAAGTGGAGATGAAATAATCATGAACAGAGCAGCACTAACTATAGGCCAGGAGATGATGAGGTATAGCTAGTTATATTATACACAATTTGAGCTTTAGCACTATAGCACATTGCAGTATGCTGCATTACAATAACTGTATAATTCAAAAGAAAAAAAAGCTTCTTTCTTGAATTAGAATACTGTATTCACATATTATCATTGTTATTATTAGTTATATTTTTAGTATGCATTGGTGTTTTCGGGTCTATGAAGTGCTTCTTTTTGTGCTTAAATGAAAAGTACTAAAAACTATACAGAGTTGAGGCTTTCTAGCTTTATTTAGGTTGCAACAGTAATAAGCAACTGTTATGTCTTTTAAATTAAATGTATTTTGTTGTTTTTATTTTTTGGAAGATTAATAGGTAACTAGTTATGAAGATAGATACAAAAATAAAACTTTTTAGTCACTGAAATCTTCAAACACTGACAACAAGTATTTTTTATATTTATGCAAATATAATCACAACAGTGAAACATTATACTGTATATATATATATATATTGTGCAAATGTGTCTTATGATCATGATACTAGAGTGGCAAAACTACCCTGAAAAATACAGCAAACAGAAGTTGTTACCATAATATAATATGGTTAAAACTTAAAGGTCAGTTTTAGTAATTTTACTTTCACAGACTCTGAAATAATTTTTGTTCACAACTTTAAGTAATTAACTTTACAACTTTGATTGTGACACCTATTTTAAAAAAATGACCCTTCACTTTTTCAACTGATGGTTCATCTGATCCATGATATTATTTTACAATCTGAAGCACTGTTTGTGATGATTTTTGTTCTTCAGTTCTTTTAATGTGTAAATATGGGATGCAGAGCTCTAAAATGTCAAGTGTTCCCCAAAATAAAAATATTCATGGGGAAGCCCTATGATTTAATGGGCTTACTATGTTAGGGATCATGTATAATCCAAGAGAATTGGAAAAACAGTTTATTTGGTAGTAAAATATCATAAATTTACATTACAATATCTGATTGTCCATAAATGTAATTCTCAATGACAAAGTGGTCATTCTACTGAGGTTACCATGTAATCAATTTTTCAATGAAATCTAAACTAAAATGATGCTTGTTTGTGCTTAAACACAAATCTACAATGGGCAATCTACACTCACTCCATCATGGTATCAGAATCCAGCTATTACTGTATTAGCCCTCAATCTTATGACTGAGTCATGAGAAGAGGGCATCAAAAAACATAAACCATTATTGGACCACTGTATGTATCATTACAATGCTGAAATATATATATAAAAAAGTAAACCATTATTGGACCACTGTATGTGTTATTATAATGCTGAAACATATATACAAAAAAGTAAACCATTTTTGGACCACTGTATATGTTATCATAATGCTGAAATGTATACAAAAAAGTAAACCATTTTTGGACCATTGTATATGTTATTATAATGCTGAAATGTATACAAAAAAGTATACCATTTCTGGACCATTGTATATGTTATTATAATGCTGAAATGTATACAAAAAAGTAATCCATTTCTGGACCATTGTATATGTTATTATAATGCTGAAATGTATACAAAAAAGTAATCCATTATTGGATCATTGTATATATGGTTATAATACTGAAAAATATAAAAAATATTGATGAAAAGCCAAACAGAGCAAAGAGAAAGTTTTGAAAAATGGACTAAGATTAAAAGCAAAGTTTTAACTGGAAGAAGTTTGGTTCTAAAACAGTAAAACATGAAAATCTAATACAGACAGTGGGCATATGTATATCCATTAGTTAAGTAAAAAAGTTACACTATTACTGGCTATCACAATTAACTCAAAAGCAAATAGAAAGTTTAAAAATTAGACAAAATAAAACACTAGAATGAGCATATTTACTACATAGTGGTAGCAAGTATTATAGAGTAGCCTTGCTTGACCCATCAAAAAATGAAGGGTTGGAGTTCTGTAAAAAAAAAACAAAAAAAAGGGTCCTCTACCTTTCCTTCAGCAAGCTTTTTTCACTAAATTTCCCCTTTCATTGTAAAAGAAAAAAACAGTCACACTGAGAAAATAAAAACAATTTTCTAGTATACACCCTTAAAAATCAACAAGCATGGTGCAAACTTAAAGTAAAGGTGGCTCATATTATGAGTGTTATACACAAACAAAATGACAACTGGATTTTATATATGTTAGATCTTTATCAGTGGAATGCCAGAGTTGTTGAAGTATATCCAATTTATCTATTTCATGAGTTGTCTTATTCAAGTGGCTTTATGGTAAGTGGAAGATTTCAGAACTCCACCGATAATTCACACATACCACAATATATTTTTCTAATTACATTATAATAACCTGAAAATTATGGTTTAAATGCCAAAAGAAGATGAAGCACCCAAAACCAATAGGCATAAGGTTCATAATGAAAATTGTTTCCCAAAGTTTAAACCTAAAAATTAATTTCAAGTACCATCATTAGTTAAGACTAATGGCAATACATTTGGGTAAAAGAAAGAAAACCCCCAGTGGCACAGCGGTATGTCTGCAGACTTACAATGCTAGAAACTGGGTTTCGATAACCTTGGTGCACAGAGCACAGATAGCCCACTGTGTAGCTTTGTAGTTAACTAAAACCAATGAAAGAAAAAAGATGTTTTATCTAAAAAAAAGTAATAACAAAACCAAAAATTTCATGAAAACCTGAAACTTAGATGTTTATATAATCACCAAGAACTTGGAAATGTCTACTTCAAGTTAAGTATATGCATAAACCAAAACATAAAATGATCTAAAAAAGTGGAATTAAGCCAACCATTGTGAATGTTTGAAGTATTATATATATATATATATATTTACAACAACAATATCAGATCATAGTTTTTTGTTAAGTGATACTGACAAATGGAGTGTTTTCAAAAGAAAAGTGGCTTTCACAGATTAGATGAAATAACCCTTGAAGTACCAATGCGTTTGACATCAACTTAGAAAACACTACCACAAATAAAAATAAAATACAATAAAATACTGTTTTTACACATATTTAACAGTATGTTATGAACAGATTTTATTGTACGTTTAATAAACAAAATGTTAGTAAATAAGCAAACAAATGTTGTCTTTTACATTTCTGAAGAGAAATATGCAAACCTGTCCTTTGCTATATTTTTTACAAATCACAGGTTTTCTTCTACCATAAGTGAACATAACATTAAAAGCAAATACAGGTCATTTTAAGGTTTTAGCTTGGATAGAAAATGAACTATAACTTTTTCCTTCAAAAACTAACTTCATCAAAAGAACAGGCTTTGTTTATTTAAATGCTATTTCTACTACCTAGTTTTGATATACAAGATAGTATAAGAAAATAAGAGGCCTCTCTAGTAGTTTTGCTAACTAGGTCATAATCCAGGTCTTGTTAATTTTTAAGTTATTAACCCTCTCTCCACAGGCATCTTTTTCTGCACATATCACAAGGTTTTAGTGAGTTACATTTAAACTACTTTATTTTTCTATTTCTGGCATACAATAAATATGGCATAAAAATGTAGCTACTAATCCATATTTTAATAGTATATAACTTTTAAGTTGTTAATCTTATAAGGTAATATTTTATAATATTTTAATTTTATTTATAATAATATAAATAAATAAAATAATATAAATTTTTATTTATAATAACAAGTTTAATTTTATAAGGTAATTCCCTTAGTATGGGAATTCTGACATTTTCTCTCTAAGCAATCCCTCTTCTCTAATTTATTTATTACCCCTCCAAGAAGTATGAAATTTAACATAAATTACTCATTATAATATTGTCATCACTCAGGTAAAGCATAATTTTTATAGCCTTCAATCTTATTTAGTCACAGGGTCATCATATATAAAATCAGACTCCTCTTGGCATGCCCACTTATCACATTCTCTATCTGATGATTAATAGTATATTATGTATAATCAACAGAAAGCCAAGATTTCACTCTATTAAATGACATATTGCAATAAACTGTTTTCTGTATAGAGAATTGTCAATTTTGCTTTTAGTTCAAGCTTTATTCTCACAGAAAACCCAGCAAAGAGCTTAGATGAATTTTTAACAGCTCTTGTTACACAGTTAGAAAGCCTTAAAAATTGTGATACTTAATGGACATTGTCTGTTTTTTGCATGTCATTATTCTGTGTTATTTGAATTACTTAATTAAATAAAAAATTAGTTAATGCAGTACTACCATAAGTATAAATAAATATGGTTAAGTGTCATAGATAGTCAACAGCAAAACAAAAGAAGACCCAGGTAAGTACTATATTTCTTTTTTGCATGTGTAATCTTTATTTATTATTATAAAGGTAACTAAAATGTAAAACTAAGAAACTTTTTAGGTTAGTTACGGTTAGATTAATAAGGTTAGATTTATTAAGATTAATAAATAATAATAATATAACAAAAACTTTCATGAGGTACACTCACAAGTAGCTTGTGCATAACGTAATTCGATAGTGTAACATGAGCTACACATCCACCAAGTGATTTACAACGTATAATGGCACAAATAGTAGTTAGACACAGTTCAAAGTTTATTTAGTGCATGTGTCCACTTTTTAAAGAAATAAGTCAATAACAGGTTTATATTGTATCAAAATGAAAAATGTTATAAATTAGACCCTTGCTAAAATAAAATAAATAATAGGACTTTATTTTATAATACATTTTCTTAAATTATTTCCTTAATATAGAAATGGTACTTCTTTCCTTTTAAATAATGTATATTAATTTTGCATATTTATTACTATCAACAAAATTAATTCTTCAAATAAAACTTTTAAAATTGTGGTAAAGTGAGTTTCATGCAGAATTTCAAAGCGAGTCTTCCTAGTGGAGAATCCAAGCATATGCTATGAATTGAATTGTTCTGTGGCTGAATAGTTGCAAATCCTTTGTATAAAGTTTAATGCATACAAATTTGCAGGAATTTTGTAGTAACTCAATCAAGTTACACAAGTATTGTTTCACTTCAGTATGAGTATGAACTGATCAAAAACAGTGAAAATCACAATGCCAAATGGAAAAGTGACTTATCATGGAGAGAGTCTGAAACTTTGAGAAAGAAAATGAAATACCAGGATAGAGAAAGAAAGAGATAGGCTTGCTCACCAAGTTATGATCCAGTGAGAAGAAGCCAGAAAAAACCCCGAAGAAGTCAGGAGCAAATCAGCTTGGCAAGATCCTAACCTAACAGCTGCCTATAGGGAAGCATTTCTGCCAGCATGTGATATATATATGAATTCAAAAAGATTTGATTGTAATGTTTGTCTTTAAGAAACAATTAAAAAATGCTTACTTTAATTGTGATTATTATGTCTTCCTAAGAGTTAAGTTTTCTTTATAGTTCTTAATCTATAAATCTGTAAATTTATCTTTCTTTTGAATCAGAAAACATTACATGCTGTTTTCAATCACTAAAATAAAACTAACTTTTTACCATACAAATATTCTAAGCAAGCCAACTTTTTTAAATTGTTAATCAGAAGGTTTAATTTAATATACATAATCAGTTTTAAATCTGTTTTATATTCACTTATATGTATTTTTTGTTTTGCAATTCTTTCTGGTGGTTTGCTTTGTTCATTTAAGTGCTTACTTAGGCTCGTATGGCCAAATAAACAGTGGCCTTGTCAGCAAAATGAAACTTGATAAGATTGACAGCAAATTGATCTAAATCTACCCCATCTTTTTTCCAAGATAACATTTATTTCCCTACCACACTACAACAACATAAATCAAATAAAGGTACAAACAAAGAAAAAGCAAGCTTTTGACAAGCTTTAAACAAATCAGGACTTTAATTGTGGCAGAAGTTGTTCAAAAACATATTTGCTTTTAGCAACATATCATTAAGGTATGCTTTTATCAAATTGCTCTAATCTCTGTAAATCTCTACTGAGCTGAAAGACATATTGGCTCATACAGTTCAAATTAATAGAAAAGAAAAGCTTATGTTATATGTTTATATCACTAGTATATGATTTCTCAAAGCTAAGATGCAGATAATTATATCACACCATGACAAATGACATTGAGAAACAGTGATTAGCTAAAATCAATAAAAGTACACTTGTACTGAATTTAAATGGTTTAAGTTAATATTTTGTTTAAAATTATTATGATTTTCCTCCTACAGGACTATAAGTATTATGCTCAGAAAATTCATTAACACTAAAAATGTTGTAGAACTACTACAAATTTATTTTCTATAATTTGTTTAACTTAATGGTACAATTTCTCCCTCCAGGCAGGATGTACCCAGCCAGGAAGTGTAGAGGTAAATGGTTATGAACTACAGTTTTGAGCTGCTTGGAATATATAAATGTTTTTCATTAAGTAAATTACGTTTTTATGTTTTTGAAAGAACTGGAGTTTTTGTACATGAGAAAATTAAGAAAAAAGCTGATTTGTAGTAATGACTGAGTATGAAAAGTCACACAGCAAAAATGAGATGATAAGGGTTTTTCTGGCAGCTACCTGAATGCTTCAAAGACAAAGTTTATTATATATGTACCAAACGAAAATTAGTGATTTCACCAATTTATTTAGTACCTTTTAATAGGTTTTCCAAGATTTATATATATACAAATATGCATGCTACTAATTTAGCACGTGTAGGAAAAGTAGAAACATTAAAAGCTTTTTTTATACAGAAGTAGAAAGTTTTAGGTGTATGTAAAAAAACAAACTAAAAAATTTTGTAAATAATAAATTATTTTTGGAAAATACAAAATACAGCTCACATATTACAATGGAAATTCCAATAAGTAAACAATTAATACAGTACAGCTCAAAAATTCTCCTTTGTTTTAAATTTCATATTACACATTAATATTTTAAGCAGTCCAATTTTATGTATTTTACAGTAAGACAATTCACTAAAACATAAGAAAGAACAATAGTAATGTGGAAAATGCTATTTTTATTGGAGAACAAGGGCTATAAAACATTTCACATACACTTGATTTTTGTTGACAAGTGTCTAGATCATTCTGGAGGGTTGTCAACTGTTCCTGAAGCTCTGCAACAGAAGCCTGTAATGATGCACGCCATTCTCGTTCAATCTTCAAGTCCGACTCTAGGATAGACCTAGTACAAGAAAAAGGTTCTCATACAATAACAAACTTTACTTTATGTACAAATTTAAGTATTTCTCATAATCAATCAACTTTCAATTATGGCAAAATCTAAACTTAACCTTAGCTTGATAATTTAAAGTCATACATATTGAAATATGACAACTATGCAAATATTCTATTTTTGTTTTACAAAGTTTAGCAAAGTTCATAAACGTTATAATTTTCCTGTACAGAAAATGTATTTACGATAGGTACTTACCTCTTGTCACAAGATTATTTATTTTCGTTCAAATGCTGCCCTCTATATGTGAACATTTTCTTTATACATATCCCAAGCCTTGCGCCCCCCCCTTATTGAAATTACTGTTTCTCATGCAAATCATCATGTGTCATCTATTAACCAACAGTACCATAGTATGCTCAAGTAACGCATGCGACTCCCTCTACATTCCTCAACCAAACTTTCACATAGAAGTTTGGCAGAAGGCATGAGTAGCGAAGAAATGGGGAATTAGTATAGGAAAATTATAACTTTTGATATGGTACTTACCTCCTCTTACTAGATTAGCTAAAATCCCACATTGAGAAGGAAGAAGGATCGATGGAAGGGAACAAAAGAAGTACCCTGAAAAGTGTACGAAGGATACCCCTGACAAAGAGCCTTCTTGAGCAACTGTGGTCTGGGGAGAAAGAAATTATCAGAATAAAGGAGAAGATAGATAGGATGATAAAGCCAAATAAATCAGATTGGCAACATCTGCAAGCCAAAAGAAGAATAGGTCTTAAGGGTCAAATGAAACAAGGAACACGAGAAAAGTGGTTCAAACAGAGGGAAAGTCAGGGCATGGAGGACCACATTAACTCTTTCGAAACAGGCTCGGTCCCTAGGATCGAGTCATGTGACCTTCTATACTTGATTAAAGTTGACATAATTTTAATACTTACAACTCTCTATATATATTGGGTATATCTTCACGAAATTTGTCAGTCTTTCAGTTAATAGTACAAGACTTTCCCATACAAAAAATCATATTCCTTAGTAAAGTACTTTTAATAAAATAAAATAAAGTTTTGTCCATGAATATATTGAGTATTTGTTTGGAATAGTTCGTATGCAAAGTAATTTTCATGTTAAAATTAAAAATACTCTTTGCCATCTCAAAAATCTCAAATTTCCTTTGTGTAATCTCTAAAACCTCCTAAATGCATTTCAAACGTTTTTTTTCCACTAAATCCTTATAGTTTATATGTTATTTTCACCATAATCTCAAAATGGGATCAGTCAATTTGACCAACCTCGTAACCACCCAAAAAAATCGAAATAAACCTAAATTAACCTTCTTTTCTTTCTAGTATGACTTCAGATTGTAACATGAAACTACATTCGTTTATCCTAAGTAGCTCTAAGTTCGTAACATTATTCATCTATTTATAATTAAATTTTATTGTTTTATTGCCCTTTGAACTGTGTCTAACTGCTATCCATGCTATTATAAGTTGTATATCACTCGGGGAATGTGCAGCTCACGTTACGCTATCAAATTACATCAACCACGAGCTGCTCGCGTGCGTGCTATTTGAACAATTTTAATTGTATTATTATTATTATTACTTATTTTACCTATTCTAGTTTTAAATAACTTAAAAAGATCCGTACTTTTAATTTTAGTTACTTTTATAATAATGAATAAATATGAAAAACAAGAAATAAAGTACTTACCCAATCTTCTTTTTTTCTTGCCCTTGATTGTCGATGAGGGTTAAACCTGATTTTTTTTAGTGATTATAGTAAAGCAATTAACAATTTTTATTTTATTAAATAATACACCAAAGAATATAGACTAATAACATGCAAAAAGAAGACAAATTCACTTACTTCTAAAAATTTCCCTGACTTTCTAGCTATGCTACATGAGCCGTTAGAAATTCATCCAAGCTAGCATTCCCATGGGAATGATGTTGGTACTCAGAGTGACATTGACGGTTATCTGTTCAAAACTCAATGTTATACAATACAACATTTGATAGATGAATACCTTGACTTTCTATTGGTTATAAATAATATATAATGAAACATAAAAGACAACTATCAACAAATTCTGAAAGAGAGGATGTGACATGTGGGTGTGGCAGGAGAGGTCTGATTTTCTCTTTGATAGCTCTGTAACAAAACAAAATTGAAGGCCATAAAAATTATGGTCTGTTTGAGCAATAATGATTTTATAGAGAATTCTATGTTTAATTTTGTACATTTTTGAGGGGTGATGGATAAAATAAGGATGATGACATGCTAAGACAAAATTTGTCACTAGTGGAAATTCAGGATTTTGTAATATATTTCCTTTTAGAATTAAGAACTTAAAACTTGTATACTATTAAAATATGGATTATTAGCAAAGATTTTGTGCTATTCTAATTGGTATAACATAAACAAAAAGTAGTTTAATAAATCTTTGATTGTAAGACACTAAAACCTTGTGTCATGCGCAGTAAAGGGTATCCGTGCCAATAGGGTTATTTGGAGCCTCTGAATCTGGTGAAGGGTAAATTAACATGAGCCAGAATGGAGTCCTTATCAATAAGGTCCCAACAACAAAGAAACCACATATGTAATGTCAGAGCCAAGGAAGAAATATAAGCCAAAGTGGAAGAGAGAAGGAGAAGGGTATCGGCAGAAAATCCCTGGGGATTTCTGTGGAAAGCCTCTGAGAGGAGATGTAGAGAAGACAGATATCGGGTAGTACAAAGGAAAGATTATTGGGCATGTGTGAGACTAACATTAGATTTGGAAGCCACTCCCCAAGGAGGTAATAAGGAACCCAACAACTGGTGATCCAAAAAACGGATATTCCATCCAATGGTAAGCAAGGGCATATACTGATCAGGGGATCTCAGGATGGGGGGGGGGGGCAGCATGCTGATCCCTTCATCTAACTGGGAGAGAAAGTGATCCACATAAACCCAAATATCAGGAGAGGGAGAAAATACCAAAAATGGTTCAAAAGAATGCTCATGCAACAAAGAAGGATGAGGGGAATAAGAAATAGGGAAAAAGAGACAAAATATCACAGACCTAAAATACAAAATCTGTGAAAGCCAAGGAAGGCCTATGTGAATGGTGAGGCTGGAAGGAACGGCAAACTCAGGAGGATGAAACAGATGGTCAAAATCATCGTCATGCTGAATAATGTCAGCAGACTCTGAAGGAGCTCAGGGGACAAAGGGTGATCCAAGTAATGTTCAATCTCCCGATGGACAAATTCAGAAAGATCCACAGTTGAGTCACCCATACCTGAGGCCTGAGACAGAAGATTGGTCATTGGTGTGACCCAGGAAGTGGTGACGTTGACTTCGGGAATTCATAACTCATGAAAACTCCACAAAATTGTCTAGTGCAGAAAAGCAACAATAAAAAAGTGGAAGAAATGTGGTAATGTATAACCACAAAATAATAGAACCACTTCATGCGAAAATGAAACATGTGTCTTTCAGGAAGCTTGAAGCACAAAAGAAAACATCTGTACTTGAAAGCTGCCAAACAAAAAGTGAAGGTTCGGTAGAGGAGTGTTGTGGGAGTCATATGCATCATGTTAGAATAAAATGCTACTAATGATTAATAGACGACGCATGATGATTTACATGAGACACATGTTGGAATGTACTAATTCCAACAAGGGGGGGAGCACAAGGCCTGTGGCATGCACAAAGAAAATTTTCGCATATAGAGAGCAGCACTGAACGAGAATAGCTAATCTTTTGAGTCGAGGTAAGTACCATATCGGAAATATCAACTTTTTTATTGCTCCCTGCAGGGTCCAACAATTATAAATTCCTGATATATATGCCAACCATGCATCATTTTCATTTTTTCCTGCTAGCAGTTAACCATCTTTAATAATATAATTAATGTTTAATTCTCAAAACCAATGTCAATAAATGTCCATGAAAAATGACACATATAAAGCATAAACTAAATAATGAAAAAATAACAATGATTTACAGAACCCATAAAAACTTTCATCTGTTCAACATTATGTAATAATTATTTTTCTGAGCAAAATGAATCTATAGTAAGTTCTCTAATTTCTAAAGAAATACAGCTCAAAATTTTGACCGTGTAAGCTTTCTACAGTTATTTGATAAATATGTCTTACTACTAATCAATCTGTACTGGTAACTACCTTTTTTGATCTTTTTCAGCTAACTGCTGACCTAGTTTCCTTCTGGCTTCCTCTGACAGTACATGATCCTGCTCAGCACGATTTGCCCTAATAAAAAAGAAAGTATAATGTTATTTAATTACAAGCCTTGTATTTAGTAAATTACTACAGAAGTAGCATTTTTAATAAAAACACTCATAGTAATAACTTTAAATCTTCTTTAAAGAATGACACAAAATACAGTTGAAAGGATACTCAGGATAAGACACAATATATTTATTGTATATAAATGTGATAGAATTTGATACAAGAAAAATATTATGAATCCATATAAGTTTTGGTCACTAGTCAACAATGATTATAAAATCCAACTTTAGCTACAAGTAAAACAGAAAAATTTCTAATTTATACGGTTTTTACTAGAATTATGGTTTATCTAATAGCCTAATAGTTGCAGGATTTTATAATATAAGGGTATATAAAAGGATTTCATTGTTGTGATTTTAAATACAAACCAGGAATTTGCTCAGAAATTAATACAAAACATCTAAATCTTGCTCTATACTTTACATTTGCTACAGCACATTTTAATAATAATTGCTATAATGGAGATGTGTAAGCTCAAATTTAAATTATAATAATTGCTATAATGGAGATGTGTAAGCTCAAATTTAAATTATAATAATTGCTATAATGGAGATGTGTAAGCTAAAATTTAAATTATAATAATTGCTATAATGGAGATGTGTAAGCTCAAATTTAAATTATAACAATGTGATATCACTTTATTATTGGTTCTGTGTTTGAGTCAGAAAATATACAAACTACTACTAATAACTCAATAAATATGTGGTGTTTACTGTTGATGTACAAGAACTTTTAAGTAAAAGAAGCAGTTGAATAGGTCAAATCGGACTTAAGATGCTGAACAACAATGACATCATGCATGCTTGCTCACACAGTCAGTGGATTAACTTTGTGAGAACTGTTAATGATTAATTTATCCACCTATGTCATTACCTAAACTACCTAACTCAAGTTTAACTTAAATTCATTTATCATGCTATGTAGATATCATAACAATGTTTTGAAAAATTCTTTATATTTTATGATTATGTTTACTCAAACATATCCAATGTTAGAATAATTAAAAAAAAAAGATTGTAGTCTTCAGTTTTGACTCCATTTATTTCAGGCTTAGAAGAAAAGAACTAATAGATAAACAAATTAGTAAGAAACACTTTAAGCAACAATTTAGTAGAGAAAAGAGATACAGTACATAATTACTTTAAAATTCACCAAGTTAATCATTTAATGAAATTCAATCCAGCTACAATATAAGACAACTAAAATATAAGAACTTCGGAAATCCTAATTATAGAATTGAAGAGATACTGAATTATTTTTGCTTAGAAATTCAGATGTACAATTTCCTTAAGAGATAAGCAGGGAAAACAATGAAGTAATAACTTTTGAAAGTAATCACTTTAAGCCCCAAAGTATCAAAATTACAAAGCTACATTTAATCATTCTAAAAACTAACTATATGTAAAAATACTGACAGAAAGCTCTTTCTAATGAAAAGTAGGAACAACTAAATATAATAACTTTGAAAATTCCTTGATTCTAAAAAAACTCGTAAACCATTTTCCTGAGGGTAAGCATTTAGCATAAAAAAAAACTAAATGTACACCCAAATATTAATAGAAAGTACCAAATAGAACTGATGGAACCATTATATTCTAAGTACATTTTAAACCACTTATCCATAGTTAAGTATTCTGAAGATATGTAACTATATTTACATTTTAGTTTTTAATTTTGCATGTCCCTCTTTATTGGAAGGTGGGAATGACAACTATAGTGAAGTAGCTTTTAATACTCATAGATTATTAAAAAGAAAAACAGACCAAACATGTGTTAACTATGTTAATCTAACTCAACATTACGTTTTGATGAATAGCTTTTCTAGTAGCAAATACACTCTATGGACAGCAACAGAATTATGATAGATTGTCACATAGTGGCATCTCACCTACAACTATCTCTCACTGGTAGCATATAACATTTATACAACATCTGTACTATAGTATCATAGCAGAAGTATACAAAATTGGTGTGGATATTCCATTACTATCAAGGTATGTGTTGTCAGAATTTTTTTTTTTTATCACATATTGACATCTCACCTACAAATGTCTCTATGGTAGCAGCTAACCTTTATGCAACTTTTGTGTTAAGGAATCATGGAAGAAGTAAGCAAAATTTGTGTGGATGTCTCAATACTATCAGTGTATGTGCTATAGGATGACTTTGGTTATATAGTGTAGTAATCAACAGAACATTTATTTTTTAAAACAAGAATGCTAAGTATATATAAAAAAATCCAGATATCTGTATTTACAAACTATTTAGCTAACTTTATTTACAAATTCTGGGGGGATAGTTTTGCAGTGTGGTAATGAAACAGAAATAGACTTCTATTACATTTTGGATTTACCACATCTAAAACATATATTTAAATTGTCATGCAACATATAAAGATAATAGTAAAGTTTTCAAATAATACATATAGCATTTATATGCAGAATTGTTTCTTTTGATTAAGGACAACATCACAGTATCCACACTTGCCTGAGAATGACGAAATCATACAGTGACTCATAATTAAGCCTAAACATATTTAGTTAATGTTGGCATTGCTTTCTAAGTGCTTCTCCTGTCACCTTTCTTGATTTTCTTAGAATGATTGGGTACTCTGCAAGTCCTTTTTCAAATGTAAAGACTCAATAGAAAGCCAGAGTTACTTAAAATTCAAGAAATTGCAGCTATGAAAAATCAAAGTCAGTTTGTTAAATGAAAAACACAAATTTATCTTGAAAGTCAAATATGTAAATGTATCTAAATGTAAATGGTTTTATTACCACCAATGTCTTCTTTTCATATGTCACATTCACAAATTTTTGTCATATTCAGATATAATAATTATGTGATAAAAAGCTATACTTAACATAATCACATGCCTTACTATATCTATCACCTTTAAATAACAGTAATTATAATCAAGTGTGGGATATCAGTTTTAACCACCAATAGCCAAGCTAAACTTTTATTATTTCTAAATATTTGAACACTCATGGTCCAATGTACTTCAAGCTGCAAAATATCTGTTACACACCAAGATGTGTCATGCTCACATCTATAAAAACCAAACTGCAAATTGATCCAAAAACAAGTAACCTGGTTATATTAAACTAGTCTCCTGTAAAACTTATGAGGTGAGTACAAATCCCCAGGAAGATGTCACCTGTAAATATCACAGTTAGCTGCATGAAAAAACTTTTGCCAAAACAATTCATTATTAGATCCATAAATAAGACAAAGACAACTATATGAATCAATCAGGAAGTACCCTTCACTAAGTCTGATTGTTTGTTAACAAGAAAATTACATAGTTGTCTATATGAATCCACCAGAAACAACCTTCATCAAATGTCATTATTTCATCCATAAGCCTACCAAGAAAATGATGTAGTTGGTTGTATGAATAAATCAGCAATGAGCCTTCACAGAATGTCATTTACTCATTGTTTTGTCCATGACCTATCAAGAAAATGACATAATTGGCTCTAACGAAACCAGCAGCAAAAATACTTCATTAAATATTCTTGTTTTGTCTATAAGCCTACCCCAAAATAGATATAGCTGGTTTAGCTGTATGAATCCATTAGGAAAGAGAATTCACCAGTGGTGTAGTAGCAAAAAAAATTACAGTGTGTATCAGTGGAATAGTTTCAGACATACAGTATTAACTCTTATGCCCTCTTTCTATTTAACCCATTTTAATCATTAGAAAAAAAAACAGTGTTTTTGTTATTTGCTATAATTAAAAGGATTTAATTAATTTAACTGGACAGCATTTCATACAGACTGAAAATGCTACTAAGGAACACTTTAAGTACATACTTAGCAGTGAAAGGAAGGAAAGTTCTACCAGAGATTACCAATTACTGAGGAACACTTTAACTTTTAAGTACCAGCTTAGTAGAGAAGAGAAATACTGTATGTGGATTTACAATATCTACAAGTATCAAACATCCAAAATAAAACAACCAACTTTAAACAAGGTTTTGCCATAACTTTTTAACAAACACTTTACCATTTTAGTGATCAATCAGCCATTTAAGGTTTGTATGAATATACTGCTCATAGGGAACCATTTATGTTACTATGCACAATTGTCTTCTCTTGCTTTAAACAATCACTATATGTAACACATATGTTAGTTAACAAAAATATGTGTTTCATTGCACGACAGTTTGGCAGGTAAAGGTGTAAATACTACAAAACATTCATAAGCAGTCTTTACTAATTATTATAATGTTTCAGAAAAAAAAAGAACAAATGAATATTTACAATACATTTATTAATATTCTTAATAGCTTATTTGCAACTGAGAAACAGGGAGGGGACTGAAAAATGCTAGAGCATTGCTTTGCTGTGGCTCCATTACAACCCTGGGCTTCACTGAATGACAGTTTCTGGTCTCTGACTTATCAATAAAATGACATAATTTGCTGTATGAACTAAATGAATGCCATTTTTTGGTTCATAAGCCTACCAAAAAAATTGACATATTTGGCTACAAAAACAAACAGAATGTAGTCTTCATTCATTTTCATTGATGATCCATAAACCTATCAAAAATTGACATACTTGGCTGTAGGAATTGATCATGGAGTCTGCAGTAAGTGTCATTATTTGGCATGAAGACTACAAAGAAAATGGCATGTTTGGTGTACGATCGAGTAAGGAAGGAGCCTTTAATAAATGTCAATGTTTGGTTCATAACGTGATGTTTTGGGACAAAATGGGACCTATTGTAGTAACACATGTTTATATTTGATTATAACACAATTTTGTTGCATTTAATATAATGAAATTTCACATTGTGTACACCTATAAATGGTTGCTTAACTTTAAAACAATAACCTCTTGTTTATCTGAGCAGAGACAATTTTATATTTTATATAAAATTTTAACAGTGTTTGATGATTCTTTCACTATCAATCTTTTAGATTTTGTACTTCTTACTTAGTAACTTATGA